GAGAGATTTCAACGCAAAACTAGGCAAGAGAGAACAGTGAACTGAAGGTAGAGAAATTTGGAATAGGGCAACAACCAACGGGCCAGCAGCTGGCCGACTTTATGGAGAAAGAGGGACTTTTTATGATGAACTCTTTCTTCCAGAAGCAGCGCCACAGGAAGTGGACCTGGTCGAGTTCCGACGGTTCGACAAAACATCCGCCGGTACGAGGCCGCCACTCGAGAACCTTTTTTCCCCATCGGTTATCGGTTCTGGGAGCTATATAGCCAGGCCATTGCCTATTCAGCTTACTAATCCGTTGGTCTATGTCGGTCACTCTGAATCTACTGCGGATATCCTCATGTCTAAGTTTATCACGCAGAGAAACTCCATGCATAGCCCTCTCCATAGCTCGCTGAGTGACCTTGAGCTTCTTCATCCGGCCAGCAGTGAAGGACCACATCTCAGTTCCATAGGTCATCACACGCACTGGTTGTATTGTACCAGAAACGGCTTCACAGGAAGTGGACCTGGTCGAGCCCCGACGGTTGAACATAAAATGAGATTGATTTCATTATTACCACCAGACTGTTCAGTAATGTCTCAGTGATCGCGAGGTTGAAAATCGGCAGCGATCACCGAATGGTTAGAGGCACACTGAATTTAAACGTTAAGTTGGATAGGTCACGTCTAATGAAGTTAACGCTCCGTCCCCCTCGTGCTCTAATCCAAAGTCCCGAAACCTTTCAGCTTGAGCTACACAACCGTTTTCAGTGCCTAAAAGATTGCAATGCAGTGGACGATTTGAATGACAAGCTCGTGGAAACTGTCCATGCGGTCGGAGCTAAGTTTTGCAAGACCCGCCGCAGAAGAACACAAAAACTGTCCGATCACACTCTTAATCTCATGACTGTTAGAAGGGAAACGAAGCTGCAGTCTTCAGTAGATTTGATAGCATACAGGCAACTGAACAGACAGATCTCCAAATACATGCGGCGGGATTTACGCAACTTTAATACTATTCGTATTGAAGAAGCGATCGAGCGGAACCAGGGCTCCAAAGTCTTTGCCAGAGATCTGTCTGCCAGAAAGCGCCAACTGTCGAAGCTGAAGACCGAATGCAGTAGCATCATTTCCGAGACATCTGAGATTTTATGTGAGATTGAGAGATTCTATGGGCAGCTTTACACGTCATCGTTGGAGCCACATGCAAATGTGAGTAACGATCCAAGAGCAAGTCTTATTCGACACTATTCCGATGATATCCCGAACGTCAGTCTGAGCGAGATTAGAATGGCTCTCTAACACCTTAAAAATGGCACGTCCCTGGGCGAGGATAGAATTACAGCGGAGCTTCTGAAAGCGGGTGGAAAACTGGTACTTAAAGTCCTTCAGAAGCTCTTTAATTCCGTCCTTAATGGAGGTACTACTCCGGAGGCGTGGAGCAGAAGAGCAGAAGTGCGGTGGTCTTGTTCTTCAAGAAAGGCGACAACGCTCTCTTGGAGAACCACAGACCGATTTCCCTTCTGAGCCGCGTATACGTGTTGTTTTCGAGAGTCATTACAAATGGCCTCGCATGCAAACTCGACGACTTCCAGCCTTCCGAATAAGCCGGTTTCCGAAAAGGCTTTAGCACCATAGACCACATACATACCCTTCGGCAAATTGTACAGAAGACGGAAGAGTACAATCTGCCACTTTGTCTTGCATATGTGGACTATGAGAAAGCCTTTGATTCCGTCGAAATTTGGGCAGTGCTGCATTCCCTCCAGCGGTGTCAAGTAGACTGTCGGTATATCGAAGTGTTGAAGTGTTTGTACAGTAGGGCTACGATGGCTATCCGAGTACAAAATCAGAGCCCGAAACCTATTCAACTGCAGAGAGGTGTAAGACAGAGAGCCTTAATATCCCCAAAACTCTTCACCGCTGCATTAAAAGACGTTTTCAAGCTACTGGACTGGAAATGATATAGTATTTACGTCAATGGCGAGTACATCACTCACCTTCTATTTGCCGACGATATAGTCCTTAGGGCAGAATTGCTGGATGACCCAAAAACTATGATCAATGACATGACAATGACAACGTCTTAAGATAAACATGGACAAAACAAAAATGTTTAACGTCCATGTCACACCTATGCTGGTAGTTGTTGGGTGCTCCCTAAGCTCGAAGTTCTTGACGGATATGGGACAAATAGTCCGACTAGGTAAGTCTAACTTCGACCGAGTGGTCAATTGACGGATTCAACTCGGCTTGGCAGCGTTCGGAAGATTACGACACATCTTCTCGTTAGACATACCTCAAAACTAGATTGTTCAACCAGTGCGTGTTGCCAGTGATGATCTATGGAACTGAGACGTGGTCCTTCACTCATGGCCGTATGAGGAATCTCAAAGTCACTCATCAAGCTATGGAAAGGGCTATGCTCGGCATTTCTCTTCGTGATAGGCTTAAAAACGAGGATAATAATAATAATAATAATCTAATCTTTTGGCGTAGGGAAGTGACGACCCCATCGCCCGCTGACGTAACGGTTATGTGACAAAACTGCTACGTCAGCGCAATAAGTCAGCACCTTGCCAAGAGTTGTTAGCGCCGTGCCTCGGCAAAATTGAAGGTGCAAAGGCCCGCTTGTGCACATGGCCTCACCATGAACCGGTGCCGGGTTTAGGCGTCTCCCGTTAACTTTTGCTGTCGCACGGATGGCCCGGCTCGAAGCGGGGTGGTACCACGACCTAACAGAAGACCAGCGTGAAGTAGAGGTTTGCCTCTGCGTTTCGCTTGGTGAGTGCAGGTGGTCAGAGGCCCTTTTTATTGAAAATGAGGCATTCCATCTTAGTCCTAACGGGTGACAACGCATCTACATTTTGATTTGTAATAGAGGATAGATGTAGATGTCTATGGACCGCAGCAACCACTTACTGTGTGCTCGTTTGTCACCCTTATCCTATAAAAAAAAACTGACGCCCAGTAAATGATGATGGAACTAAGAAGACTGCGCAAAGGGCCGCTAACTGGAAGTCGCCAGGGCGCGTCTGGAGCTGGCGCTGGACACTACAGCATGCGAACCGCCAGCCGAGCGCGAGGAGCTGCACGACCACCCATCAGTCCCTCGCATCCATCATCCCCACCAGCTGGCTTGGTGTTGGCGAAGCCTTCGCAGGCCCCGCATTCAGCACCCACCACTGGTGGAATACGCCGCATGCGTTGATCAATGAAGATGAACAGCAAAGCATTGAGGGCGTATTTTAGGGCGAAGGGGGGAGAAATTGGAGGTTTTGCGTATCGGGCTAGGATGCATCGACTTTTTGCTGAGCTGGAGCTATCTATAAACGTCACCGAGCAAAACCTGGCAGACCGAGTTCGGTATATTTTGCGCTCAAGCATATTTGATAACACCGAACTCGAACGGCTACGATGTGAGGCTGTAACCTCATCGAATGAAAATGCTACAGCTGAGGATGCGGCGCCACAAGTTGCAGAGCAACCAGCACATGTGGATGTCGCCGTGAATCTTTCAGTTGTGGTTGGTTCAGACGATGATGGAACAGTCGCCCAGGAACTAGAACTAGAGCAAATGAGGAGTACATTGAAAGAGGCTTTTTTGGAAACGCGCAGTACGCCTCTCGAAAATCGACTGCGACTTCCCCGCATACCCTTAAGCAAGCGAAATCGGGCTGTCGTGTGGGCTCTCAACCCAATACTGGTGACCTATTTGGAAGCCAGCCGGGACCTTTGCGAGACGGACTCAATTCTCTTTGGCGTCGCACTGGCAGTTTGCCGTATTATTGGTGCCAAACTTCCCACGCCTGGACGCGCTACTAGGCAAAGTAGCGCTATCCCAGTCTGGAGAAGAAGGATTGAGGACCGCATCGCAAAGGCAAGGGCCTTCATCGGCAGACTGATAAGCTTCAGGTCGGGCAATAATATGCCGAGAATAGTGCGCACTGTTAGGATGGCGTTTGCTGGGACAAATATAAGTTTGTCCTAGCCGGATGTAACGCAAAAACTGACGGAGTGCATAGACGACCTGAAGCAGAGAATCGCTGCTTGAGGGAAGCGGATTCGGCGATATACCGAGAGTTCGACACCGAGTGATCACCCAGCACCGAATCAGGCCGACACTGTCGCATTCTGGCGCGGCCTGTGATCAGAGCCCGTAAATCACAGCGAGGGCCTTTGGACGGAAGTTGTGGAGAGTCAGTGTGCGAATGTTACGCCCATGGACCCCGTCATCATAACGCCGGATGACGTAGCTGAGGCGGTCCGAAAGGCCCTGAACTGGAAAAGTCCGGGACTCAACGGACTGCATCACTACTGTCTGAAGGGGTTCGTGGTGTGTCACGCTGTGCTAGCGCGACAGTTTCAAGTGGCTCTCAACCAAAAGTCGCTTCCGAGCCTCTTCACTACTGGGATCACTTATTTGGTTCCTAAAGACCGGGATTCCACAGACCCGAGCAATTACCGCCCCATTATGTGTCTACCCACCATATATAAGACACTGACATCCATTTTGAGTACGCGAATCTTTCGTCACCTGGATTTAAACCAGCTGATGTCGCGTGCTCATAATGGATGCCGGGGCGGTGGTCGTGGAACCAAGGAACCACTCCTCATTGACGCGGTTATTGGCTAACTGTTAAAGTGGTTAAACGCAACCATCGGAACTTCTCTGCCGCCTGGATAGACTATATAGGACTATATAGGATAGAAACGTATTCGAATCGGTGCCCCATACATGGCTAAAGAGGTTTCTCAACCTGTACAAGGTTGATTGTACAGTTAGAGACTTCCTCAGGCAATGTATGGGGCAGTGGAGTACAGTCCTTTGTCATCTAGGCGAGCGGACGACGCATGCGGAAAGCCGCACAAGGATAAGAAGGGGTCTCTTCCAGGGCGATTGTTTGAGTGCAATCTAGTTTTGCCTCTCCCTGAACCCTCTCAGTACCTTACTGGAGGACTCCGGGAGGGGATTTCAGCTTCGGAAAGGAGGGACAAAAGTGACCCACCTTTTCTATATGGATGGTCTCAAGTTATTCGCCTCCAGTCGCTCCCATCTTATGGAACTGCTAAACATCACTTGTGATTTTAGTACTAGTAGTTCTATTAGAATGGAGCTGGGGACGGATAAGTGTGCGGTCCTCCGTGTTGAAAGGGGAAGAGTTGCTAGCTCTGAGGGCATAGACTTATCTATGCCCATCAACATAAGGACCCTTTCCGAAGCTGAAACATACCGATACCTGGGTGTGTCACAGAACATCGGTGTAGATGAGGCGCGTATGAAACAGTCATGCTTAACAGCCTTTTGTTCGGTGTGTATAAGACGCACGCATATAACGGTTGGATCATGCCTGTTCTCATGTATACCCTTGGCATACTCAGGTGGACTCATCTCAGACCGAACTGAATGCTCTGGACAGAAAAGTCCGCACTATCATGACGTCCCACAGGATGCATCATCCGAGATCAACAGTAATGAGGCTGTACTTGTCGCGGAAGCATGGTGGACGCGGCTTTTTAAGCGCGCTTACCATGCATAATCACGAAGTGTGCAGCCTCCGTAATTATTTTCTGACGAGAGCGGATGATCCATACTATAGGGAAGTTATTTTTTGTGATAAAGGACTTACCCTACTACCCATAGCCAACGAGCAATGGCAAGACCCGGCAGTACAGAGCATTTCCGACCGTGAGACCGTATAGAAGGGGAAGGAGCTCCACGGGAGATTCTACAAGGCTCTACATGAGCCTTTCGTAGACACAGTCGCCTCCCTCCACTGGCTACGTTTCGGTGACCTCTTTGGGGAAACCGAGGGTTTTGTCTATGCGATACAGGATCAGGTTACTAAGACTGTGGCGCGACGACAGCACCGCCATATCACAACAATTATCGGAGATACATCCTAAAGAATGCCACCGTCGACGTCTGTTGAGCTTGTCGCCATCCCGGTGAGTCACTTAGGCATGTCATCTCCGGTTGTTCGGCGCTTTCTAACTCTGAGTATTTGCACAGGCACAACTTAGTAGCCAGGATTCTACACCAGGAGCTCGCTCTGAAATACGGTCTCGTGAATCGGAAACTGTCGTATTATAAGTACTTGCTGGAAGCCGTGCTCGAAAATGACCGCGCCAGGCTCTACTGGGACCAGGCCATCATCACAGACAGGACTATTCTTGCAAATAAGCCTGATATTGTGCTGATGGACCGGGCACAGTCAAGGATATTTTTGGTCGACATTACCATTCCTTATGACGAGAACCTTTTGAAAGCCGAAACAGATAAGCTGACAAAATATCTGGATCTGGCTCACGAGGTGACCGACATGTAGGGTGGATTGCCGGCCGAAATTATACCTGTAGTCGTCTCTGCGAACGGGTTAATCCCAGTCAGCCTCTCGGGTCATCTGAGGCGACTGGGAATCCGTGACGGACCGCTCCATGCTCAAATGCAGAAGGCGGTGCCCCTCGATACCGCCCGCATCGTCCGCCGGTTTCTTTCCCTTTCCCCCTAACCCTCGGCCGTTTGTTCTCCCCTGCTGAGGGCTTCCATCTGGTTGGGTTTTTATATATTTATGTATTTTTTATGTATTTATTTTATGTTATTTATACTTATGTACGTTTACCATGTTTATTTACAATTATATATTTATATTGCCCAACATAGATACCACATAATAAACTTTATTTTAAAAAATTTACAATATTTTTTGAAATCCCTGACTCCCGAGCTAGGTAAAAAAACCTCTGTTACGGGAGTCAGTGCGATCTCCCTAATATAAATGACATGTAAACTATTTTATGTAAATAAAGCAATTTAATTCTATTTGTGTGCATGCATATTTTGCGTGCATGCATATCTCCGCGAGGTGTGCGTGTGTGTTTTTTCGTAAGTGGATATGTATGTGTGTGAGTGCGCGTGAGTGGTTGTGCATCAGCGTGCGTTCGTGTGTGTGTGTGGTTGAAATTTAAGATTTAACAAATTTTTGGACATTAATTGATTAGCTTCATAGAGCTTCAGCTTCTAAGATCGATTCAGTTTGTTCATAATCTAGTCCTAATAGCCAATTCTTAATTTTGACTTTTCTATTAGACATAGGATGTATATTTATTAGCTTATTAATTTTGTTATACAAATATATAGCCTTATAAGCATGTTGCCGCCTAGCAGAAACAGTTCGACATGTAATAGGTAAGCATACATTTTTTATAACCCTATTTTTGTTATAATCAGCGGCATTATAAACGGTAACTATATGCTGTTTAGTAATTAATTTCAAAATGTACAGTTGTCTGACAGTTAATAATCGACATTTCTCGTACAATTATTTAGTGGGAAATCTGTATGGCCTAAAGGTCACGACTTTTAAGAGGTCTTTGTGCCCTTTCCAGGCGGATTAAAAAGGTCTTACAGGCTCCTCCCCAGACGTTTATACAGTATCTTATAATAAACTAAACTAAAGCATAATATATTGAATGCAGCAGAGGTGAATCAGCGGTGTATCTTACCTTTTTAAAACCCAAATAAGTTTTATGGTACGTTCAGTTGTAAAGATCTATATGTGAACGCTAGTTAAGTTTGTCGTCCAATATTACGCCTAGATATTTGACACTACTGGATTTAGTATTTCCAAGACATGAACATGGAGAGGTAGTATTGAAAGTTTCAGTACACGAGTGGACCTTAAGATCGAGGTTTACGGATCCAGTGTTTCCCAAGGAAAACAGCATGTATGTAGTTTTAAATATATGTAAAGTCAGGAGATTTGCACCAAGTCTTACCGTGGAAGACCAAAGATTACTAGAGGTTGCTGACATAAATCATTTATATAGATAAGAAAGAGACTAGGTCCCAGAATACTAGCCTGTGGAACGCCACATAATACCGGTTCCTCGGGACTGACGTATTCACCCACTTTAACCTATTGTGTGCGGTCACACAGGAAGTCCTTAAATAACGTCAGTGCATTGCCACGAATACCAACGCGTTTTAACTTTCTCACAAGGATAGGTATCGACACAGTGTCAAACGCTTTGGCTAAGTCGAGGAAAATCTCTAAAATTAAAGCATATTTGCTTCGCATCAACCTTTGACGTCACAAAGTCTGTTAATTGAATTACTGCGTCTTCATTGGACTTCCCCGACCTAAAGCCAAATTCTATAATCTATAATTTAATAATTATTCCAAGATTTTTGAGATACAAGAGGGTACTGAAATAGGCCTGCAATTGGACATTCCGTCTCGAAACCCACCCTTATGAACAGGAGTGATCAGCGATTTTTTTAAACTTTTGGGACGATTCCTTGCGTAAAACACAGCTCACAAAGTTTAGTCAACGGTGGAACTACAAGATGTATGGATAATTTGAGAAGTTGCACAGAAATGGATGGGATCCAGTAGCAGTGTTATTTTTTAGGTTTCTAATAATAGATTCAACCTCGCCCTCATCTGGTGGAAGTAGCACAAAAGAGTTAGGGATTGGTGGAATTGTGAAATTGTATGGAGAGCTATTTTGATTTGATATATTCGCGACTTCAGCTAGTTGTTTACCAGTATTAGAAAAATATTTGTTTATGGCTTCTACACAACGAACAGCATTTTCAGCAGAACTTAAAAGATTATCAGCACTCGTCTTTTGTTTTGTGTAATAATATTATAGATTTAATTGCATTCCAAGTATCTTTATTAGTTTCGTAACAGTGACTTTTCATAATTTCTATTAAGTTTTCTCAACAAAGAGTTACGATAATTTCGGTAACGCTTATATGTAATTTCAAGAATTGTATTATCAGGATTATTTTTAAGTTTTCGATGGAGTTTGTCTCTGTGGCGAATACAACGCAAACGACCTATAGTTAACCATGGTTTTAGCATTCTTTGTTTATTAGGGATTCGACGGGAATCAGAATGATGTGAAATTGCACTAGCCAGCTTTTCTACTAAAGTTGACGCGTCTTCGTTTGCATCAGATGAGGTATTCATAAAAGAAATGTCCATTGTCTCTAAATATTTTAAACAAGCATCATAGTTTATTCTAGTAATAAACTTTGCTTCTTTAGGCCTTTGCTGGCCAAGGCAAATGCTAAGTAGGATTGATACATGATCTGTTATAGTACTATTAATCACAAATACTGATGCCGCCGAACTAGTTTTTAGCATGACATGATCTAGCCAGTTTTGTAACCTAGTGGGCTTAATGTGACTTGGAAGCAAGCCTAGCTCCGCTGTTAGGTTTAAGTACGCTTCACTTCTTCGATCGTTGTTATTATCTTTAATATCAATATTTATATCACCAATTAGTACCAAGTTTTTATTTGAGTCTAGGGGACGAACTATATTTTCCAAAGAATTCAAAAGACTGTCAATACAGTGGGTCGATGGGGATCTGTAAGTAGCTAAATTGAAAATGTCGGGATCAATAATTTTAATTGACATGATATTTGCTCTGGTTCTTCTATTGTACATTTAATACCTTTTTAACATATATCACGATACCGTCATTTTGATTGAGACATTTATGCGTAAAGTATGCATTGTAATTTTCAAACTGAGGAATATGTTTACAGGCACTCAGCCGGCATTCAGTTAAGATAATGATGTCACATTCAAACGTGAAACGAGATAGTTAAACGAGTAAACTATCTGAGTTTTTGTATATGCTGCGAATATTATGACGGAATATTTTCAGGGAAGTAGACTTATTTTTAATGAGCGAATTACAGGTTTCAGTGTCACAAACTTAAGCTAAGGCTACGCCTACATTGTCCAACTCTGTTGAGATATTTTCGTTTACATCAATCAGCTCAGAAACAAGTTAATAGATTGGCACTTGTTATTGTTACAACGTACTTGGTTTATATTATTATGGAATGCAAGTAATGTAGCGATTGATTTAATTTTTATGAGTATGAGCGAGACTATAATTGAGTTTGTGTGTTTGAATAGTTTTTACATGATGATTTTAGTTATGAGTAAAGTGAGGATGCCCAGGAGGGTGTGTGTATAGTGATGAAGTGTATCCACAGTATTATTATTTGTTTTAAAAATTATTCTTAAAATTAACATACGGGATTGCATAAACAAAATTTTTGAATTACTGTAAAAAACGACTGACAAAACATGTTTTGAAAAGCATTTTCTAACTTTATACATGCCTAAATTAATTATGTGGACTACATTTCTCAAAATCGCTGTCAAATGACATTTCTGGATTGGGTTCTGTATTTCCCGTTTCAGTTGGTTTAGAGAGAAAGAATTTTACAGAATCAATTGTAAAAGATCTGTCACCTGTCAATTTTCGCAGAAAAAAATTGGTCATTAGTCATCCAACAATACTGGTAATTATTATCTCTAGCATACATTCTAGCTTTGCGGAATAGGCTTTTGGAGCTTGGAGGTAGTATTCTGTATTCTGAGACATATATTGGTATGCGCTTGCCAGATAACCCAATAGTTTTGGAGTTGAGTTTTTCTTCGGTCGGCTTCTTTTTATTGAAATTTCTAGCCGCTGACAGAATTTTGTTTTAGTTTCACCGTTACAA